TTACACTTCTGGGGCTGTATTACTTTAAATGCCGCAATGCTTTTTGGCATCTCAACTGTTGCGCAGCCTAAGTTGGTTCATTTCACGAACAAATAAAGATGGTGTTCCACAGGGATCTTTACTGCATTCCTTTTGTTGTTCGTGGACGTCCACCTATGACTCTATTTCTTGTGTTTTGCGAGCGAGCGTATCAGCATCTTAATTTGTGCAGTAGGCAGTAAAAAACAAATTTTTGGCGTCGATCGTCCTTAAATCCGTCGAACCTCACTACATGTAGTCTTGCTGTAAGTATTTTATGTGAGTATTTTAAAGATCGGTTACAAGCTATTTGAGAGAAAGTGATCGAATTTTAATGCTGTTCATCCGGCAATCATGCACTTGACCAATTTCTATAGGTTAGCCTGCTAACCAATATAGCTGGGGATAGGCCAGGTCTATAAATCTTTTTAAACTTGTCCTCTGACGTGTCGAAACACTTCATCATATATGTGGGTCGAAACAAGCGCCATGCACATGCACCTGAGGATTTTTGGTACCGACGTTTCTCTCTTTAATGCACTGAACACCCTTCTGCCTCCTTTCACGATCTGAGAATACCTTCCTCTATGAATCGAACGCATGCTCCTTTAGAATTCCTTTAGTAAAACTTCTTGTCCATTCTGAAACTGTAACAGAGAAGCGGTATTATAGTGAGATTAAATGTGAGTGCATCACAGCCATCTTCTGGATCTTCGTCGTTACTGTTCTGTCTTTTCGTCGGTTCTGTATTGTTGAGCTTCTTCAACGTTTCACATGATTTGTACTCCGTTAATCCACTGAAGGCTCGGGTGTTGTGCTCGCCCTTTTATAGTAACGGTTGAGGGAAACTAGCTCACGTCATCAACCAGAGTGGGCTGACCCTTCTCCCACCAATCAGCGTTGTAAGTTAGAAATGTGGGTTGGCCTTAGAAGCTCGCTCCAGCTCTCATATCTTGTTTATTTAAGGCGTTGTCGCACTAGTCGAGTTGGTTTTCTGTTCAATCGATCAATATTAAAAAATTTTCACAACTTAAAATATTTATCATCAACAACTAGTAAAATTTACAAATAATACGTCTGTGAACAATATATTTTAACTTAAACTATTTTCACTCTCGTTTTGCCGAATTGAACTTTTGATGACGTAATCTATTACATGCTCAACCGCGCAAAATTTTAACCACAATTGTTTGACATAAGAGCTTGCATTGCCTACAGCATGCACGCACATTTTTTTTAAAAAATACGACAATTAAGATAAGTGACGACTTAAGACTGTTTATCCAGGTATTAGCTCTGAAAATAAGGGTGATAATTATTTTCACCTAATTACTTATTTAAACCCACGATATGTCATACATGAAAGGGAAAGGCGATTAATGATTGCGAATGGCCGAAAATTATATTTACTCAGGCATCTTGCGGCAAAAATCAATCACCAATCCCTGTCATGCAATTGATATTCCTATTTTACAGCTATTTTTAACATGCATATATCTAAACACAATAAAGCCTTGCGTAACAATATATAGGGCTGTTTGTAGAACGGTGAATTTTTGTTCACTTCAGAATGGTCAATTCGGTTCATTTGTCTTTTTCATTCGCTAGTAATGATGGGTTCACTTCTTGCGGGTACCTCGGAAGCTCCGGGTGAATACTACTTTGCCGATGGTGTTCGTTTAAAGAAATATCGAGGTATGTTGCATATTTATAGTAATTCTTACATACATGTAGTCAGTAGTCGCTTAATAGATTTTGACAATAAAATGCTTAGCACCTACTGATATACAGGGGCCAGTTGTATAAAATGCTTTAACTACATTTTGCATAGTTAAGTCATGGTTAACTCAGAAATACAGAACTCTCATTGGCCAATTCTGTCCTTAACTGCAGTTAAGAGTTAACTTGTCTTTTATACAACTGGCCCCAGATTTTGTTTAGACATGTTTTGTGATTTTGATGGTTTAAATGAAATGATTTTAATCTTTCACCACCAGCTCTTAGGTAGTCCTAGTGTAGTTTTATACGTCATGAAAAGACATTAAGAATTTTTTTTGTTTGAAAAACGTTTGAAACTATAGAATAGCTGTATAGAAGCGGAAATATTGAAATTATTACGAAATAGATCTCCAATTGTTGTATATTTAAGCGACTTGTTTTAATGCTTGCATGTTGCACTATAGTCAAAATTGCTCCGACAGTATGTTATAACGTCCAACAACGGCAGTCACAACCTTGATAAAATAAGAACAAAGTGGGTCGTGTGGCTGACTCGTAGAAATGATAGACATGTCTATTATTTCTATGGCCTGACTGTACATATTTCGAATATCTACAACGCTCTTTTTCTCATCACAGGAATGGGATCACTTAATGCTATGGATGCGAACAAGTCAAGTCAGGCGAGATATTTTAGGTAAGCTGGAATAAACTTCTTTATGTGGTGACAGGAGGGCTAAACACTTTCCATTGCGAATCCTCGTTTACGTCATGTATCGTCCCACGAGATTAAATTTTTCACATTATTCATTAAAAAGAATGCACTGGCTCTGTTTGCCTATAGCCTATATATGAAACACACATTTTTTGGAATAAATTGAGTGTTCTGATATTTAGTGAAAGTGCAAGAGTGAAGGTTGCCCAAGGCGTTGCTGGGTCCGTGGTAGACAAAGGGACGATCCATCGGTTCGTTCCGTACCTTATCACTGGCATACAACAAGGATGTCAAGATATTGGTGCGTGCAGTTTGGACAAATTGAGGTGAGTTCGTCTATATTTGGGCCAAATGGCAGGTTCTATAAACCCTCGTAAGTCCTGAGTTTTTCACATTATACTACGAACACATTTTTCCATTTAGTCCTGTTTACATTTTCATTCAAACGAGCTAGTTAACTTTTAACTGTAGTTAAGGACAGAATTGGCCAGTAAGAGTCGTGTATTTCTGGGTTAACTAGGATTTAACTGGGAGTTTTATACAACCGGCCCCTCATCATATGTAAATAGGGATTATATCAAATAAAAATGGCACATGCATAAATCGCAGCAAAGTTGCAAGTTGTAAACGAAGCAGGAATATTTCTGGCATTGCTATAGTTCTATCCATGAAATAACGCTACATTCCAAAACCGAAAAAGTTTTTGTGGCCTATTTGCGATCCCCTAATTTGTGCATGACTCCAGTTTGGCGATTCGTTTTTCCATGTATCTGAGTTAATTTTTTTTTCAATCGCATTTCCACACGTTCTCGTTTGCAGGGCAATGACGTACAGTGGCGAGATACGATTTGAAAGAAGGACAGTATCTGGGCAAATAGAAGGCGGTGTTCACGGATTGCATTCGTGAGTTAAACGACAATTTGTTATTTAAAGTGTGGTTGTTTTCCCAATTTAGGCTTCGAATATAAAGTAGTTAACGTTTTTACCAAAAATTTCATTAAAGAACATATTTCTCAAGCCTCTGTACACTTAACATACAATTTATATCATTGGTATACTCCACAACTCCTAATCGTAAACCTAGCCTAGCCCTAATCCTAACTCAATTTCAACGATTGAGGTTTTATTTTAAAGTATCGCATCTTTCAGCCTCTTTTAAATTTCGTCTAAACTGAGTACATGCCTTTTTTCCCTTTTAGGTACGAAAAACGGTTATTTTAGGCATACCTCGGAAATTATTATATTATGAATTGATTTATGGCTTGAGTAAATATTCATAACATAAATGTACACTGTTTGCCCACTACTTCTACAGTCTGTAACCGATCTCAAAATTTTTCGTTATTGAAATAGATATTATATATGTACATCGATACATATATTATGTATGTGGCGGTGCAAAAGCAATGACAATAGTTTCTTATTGTCACTAAATAGCAAATGGTGTACATTTATGTGCGATTCAATTGAATAAAAGTTTCAGTGTGGTTATCTGAATTTTGATCACACACTCTTAATCTTTTCAATAAAAACCTTTACCTTTATACATGCTGAAATTCACCTATTCGGACAATGCATGCAGGGTTAATGCAGGATTATTCAGCGATTTCGAGAAATCTAAAACCAGATAAAGCCTGATTCTTTATAGTTGCTACCAACAGAAAATGCTAAAACGCCTAAATAGTAAAACAGCTAACTTGTTGAACAAGAAATAGGTGAACTACAAGAGAAAAAGGTTTTAAAGAGAAGAAGAGTTTTCGCTTGATATATAACCCAATGACGTCCCTTTTGGATAAGTGAATTATCAGCCGGTAAAGGTTTCTGAGACGTGGTAAATATTATCATCAATATGTTCAGATCAATCTGAAATACGTTCGTGAAATTATGTACTTATTCTAAACGGCTTCTCAACACAATTATACTATGACGGTAATAAACACGATTTCTTTGTGACTCGCAATGTTGTGATTTGTATAATATAAAGTTGGAAATTGACTATCTTACGCCGTTAATTTCGAGAAGTGAAGAAAATTTTCTTTCTTATGCACATTCGATTTCAACTAGTATTTATTTCATTGCATGCCTATAATTGTTTCGTTTAGTGATAGTCCCGTGCAAATAGCAGTTAATTTGAGTTAACAGTTATATGGTTTGGACTCTCTTACAAAATAAAAAATCCATTCGGGGGCAATAAAAAATAGTTTGTCTTTTAGTCAGTTTTATGAGTATATAATAAAGTAATATAATAGGTAAATCTGTGTAATTTGAGCCGGAAATACAAAAGATCGACGATGTTTTGGTTGGGATTTTGTATTAAAGCTAGGACGAATTTAATCAAACAGTCAATCCCGGAAGTGACGCCATCAAAATTGTGGTTAATGAGGTTAGAAGGCACTTCAAGGTGGAGGAAAGTTCCTTCATTTCAGTCGAAATATTTCATGAAAAAAGCACGACGTGGCAATTCTACAACTATACATTTTTATTACCTTCTCAAAATAACAATTAACAAAAGCGACAGTGTAAAAAGCACGTCCAACGATAGGGAGTTTTAGATGTTTAACATCTTAAATGTTGCAAAAAACATTTCCATCATCACCAGGAAGAGTCCTGGTCGGTTTACCAATCCCAACGCTTTCGTTGTAGTCGATTTATCTTTTCGTAGGGCGCACATCGCATCGAAGTCGCAATTGTCGACAGTGTGTTTAAAATAAGCCTGGAATTCTTCAAAGCTACACGTGATATTTCCTTGACAACACGGTAAAGCCATGGGTTTCTCGTTGATCAAAATTTGCACCTAAAAAAAACATGACGCATATGATTCAGTAGTTTTCATTCAAAGTTTAGTTGTATGGTGTACCGAGCAAGTTACCGCTGGCTGGTTCATTCAACCCTGCCGAATTATCTATTGCCGTCAGGGCCTCTCAGAGGGGGGGGGGATGGGCAAAAGGGACAATTCTCCCCGGACCCCTAGTCAAGAATGAGTGAGTCAAGAGTAAAGAATAAAATAACTATTGCTTTTCAAAGAATATTACTGAAAATCCTAAAGAATTTCTCTGCTATTTGTGTGAAAACAAAAAAGCCAACAAAGTATAGCGTGAAATTATTTAAAAGTAATTAAATTTAGCAATATACTTTATATAACGATTTATTTTGCAAATTCGCTAATTAATTGGCAGGATCGCACAGCCATGGTAAAATTAGTTGAAAGTGACTACAGTTTTATAACAATGGCAACTCAAACGCTTTGTACTTAACTATTTGTTCTAATTCACAACTTATTATAAAATGCAAGACATTTAGTATCATATTTAGTGTCATTTTTAGCGATTTGACCACGTTTTCATTCTGTTATGCTGTTTTTCATTTGAAAGTTTTTAGTAAGGAAATAACCAAATGTCGTTGCCACTTCAAAACAATATTTTTAACTACTTGAAATTTTATTCCCCGGTAAAAAAACTGGCAAACCATAGTTTTCCTGGCGCGACACGGCTAAAGTGGGTACCTGCACCAATTGGATCCGAATGGCCGAGAATTGATAAAAACTGTGTACCAAGTACCCGATACCAATTTTAGCCTTGCTGTGACAATAAATTATATAGTGTAAATGGAGCTGCAGATGCGATACAATAAGATAAGATCGGAGTAAACTGCGCCCATAGTGAAAGGGCCCCAAGCCGGATTTTGCCCCGGGCCCCCAAATTACTCTGAGAGGTTGTGATTGCCGTAATCCTTCTTGGAAGACTGAAATGAACATGTACAGTCGAAATAGACGCTGCTGTAAATATATCTTAAATCCTTTTGTCCATGCAAGTTCAAGCAAACCTGTGCACTATACTGACGTCATTGGGAAGTTCAACCGCACATTGAAAGGAAGCAAGATTTCAAAAAGATTATGCACGAGTAAGTTCGATAAAACAGTCAAAACATCGAATTTTAGCTCTTTTTTATTTTTTACTGATTGCAGTAGCTTTATAACTTTTTAAAGCCTTTTTACGACGGTTGAACTGAAAAATCACTTATCACTATAGCTTTTTTCACGTTTCGAACAACTGGCCCAGGCCTGAAAGATTTGGTTAAAACGGAAATCTGCCAATGCCATGCAGTGTAGACTTCTTCAGGACACTGGACTTAATAGAGGAACTGAGTTATGTTTTTACCTTGTAATTCTGTGTTTCGTTCTGTTTTCCTCTCAGATTACACTTGAACAATACCAAGGCGATATTAGCCGACATTGGTACGAGACGTGACGGGAACCGCCGACTACTGTTCGGGCGAAAATTGGAAGCGCTCAAAGTTGTGCCATTGTCATATGCCCCCAACGCAGTCAAGAGAGCAAACATTGTTCCCGAGGAAGCGAATCTAAAAACTCCACGAGCTTCACTAGATCCCTTCGAAAAGTCCTCGAGGTTTTCGATAATGTCTGCCAAAAGAACGCAAATTATTTCATAGCCGAGCTCGTTCCCAAACGAGTGTTCGTAGAAGTTTTTCAAATCTCCGACATAATTCATAACATCTAAGCTTGCACTGTCGAGTAAAGCACACCAGCTATCATCTTCGTGGTTCATTATTCCAAAAGCACAAAGTCGTCTTATCACATCTACGTCTTCGAATGTCAGGGATATTGTTCCGTTGATTCGAAGACGTTTCTCTATTGTTCGTATGACATTTCTTATTTCCGGGCCTTGGGTAAACTTTTCGACTTCAGGAAGGCCATTTTTGTCGCTGTCGGCAACATAACGAGGACATGCGTCGTACGACGACAGCAGTTTGTCGTTCTCTTCTGGACCTGCAGATTTTATAGCGACCGACCGGAATTTTGATCTCCCTGGTCCTGGAACAAATTGAAACGCTTGAGTTTAGTGGTTTAGTCGAGGCGTGAGGAAACTGGCTCAGTGTTTCAGCTCTCCGGTCCACAAAACATAATGTTTCCTTCGGTCGCAGTAAATAAGTGTTAATTATTTAAGATTTTTAAAAACAATTAAGAGATTATTTGTGTGCAATATACAACAATGTCAATTCATTTTTTTCTTGTTATACTGTATATGACGACGATGGTCATTTGATTCATTTGATTACCGCATAGGGCCGGTTTTACTTTTGTTTCAGAGCTGCCAACTGCACCATCTGGTACAAATTGCTTAAGCACAATTGAATAAATCCGCTTCGCGCGAAAAATATCGCTTGTTGAAAAGCCTACAGGCTTAGTACTCACCCTGCGACCGTGTGGTATTGTTTTCAAAGAGTCCTAAGGGCGCAAACGATTTTTCATCGAAATAATGCTGCTACCCCGCGAGGCGATAATTCCTTCGCATCTGCGTCGTTCCATACCGCCCATTTACGCCAAGGTAACGTGAGATTTTTGAGCCGAAATGAAGAGGTTGCCGTGTAAACTCCGTTTAATTTTTTCAATAGTTTATCGATATCCTTCCTGTCGCCGTTACTAGGGAATCTCGAACCGTGCCGAGATATGAATTCGATGCGAGCAGGCGTACAATTATCAGGACGTTGTGAAGAATCACTTGAGAATTTGTCATGATTGTAAGCTGTTTTAGTTCCAAAATTAAGCGACTTCAATTTTGTCGCTCTACCTTCGCCAGAAAGTTGGATGAAAAATAGCAGGACAAAGCCTAGAAACAGCGCCATGTATTTGCTTTTGGTACTAAACCTCTCACACGCTTTACTGATGTACACATATATTTTAATACCAATTATCATAATGAAATTTTTAGGATCAAATTACGCTTTGCTGTTGACCGGTGCGAAATTCATATTTAATTTCCCCTCACCAATGCCTCCAGTTCTGCTACGTTGCCACCATAATGCCATCAGCTAACCATCAAACGGATCAAAATTACAACTTGCACACTAGAGAAATTGTGTTCGCGCACCCTCAGGTGCTTTGCAGACCTAAGCCTCAGGGAGTGAAAAAAGCCAAAAGAAAATTTTGACAAGGTGGAAGACTAGGTTTTCATTGTAGGCCCAGCCTCGTACCCACGCGCTTTGAAAGCTTTGAAAATGGCGTGCGTATGCGTCGCGCAGCTGCGTGGGACGACACGCGGGGGGAAGCGAAAAATCGCGGGGAAGCTGCGCGACGCCCACGCACGCCATTTTCAAAGCTTTAAAAGCGCCTGGGTACGAGGCTGGGCCAGGAATACGATTTGTATTTTTTATATTCCCCATTCGCATTGCTATGACGTAATTATGCATTACGTCATAGCAATGCGAACGTGTCACAGTGACCAGTTACTGTCCAGTTCATTGAACTTCATTCGCTCATAGTTTTTTCATTTGAATAATAAAGTTTGATAATAAAACAACGGCTTTATAGCACATATATTTTATCGTGAGTCATGGGAACTGCTGCAGAAAACATTCCTCAACTTCCAAAAGTTGTTGAGAAAGATGGGTTTATCATCAGAAATGGTAGACCTGATGATTGTGCTGCAATTGTAAGGTATATAAAGGTATGTTGGCTACATTGCAAAGTATAGCTGATTTGACATAGTTGTTGTCCAGTGCTGTGCAGTTAGGTAAAATGGAAAAGTTGGTAAAATGGAAAAATTGTTTTTGTTCACCTTTTATGAATTTCTCTCACACTGTAAGTCTGCAAGTTTCCAAGGGAACTAAATTAGGGTTGGGCCTGGGGTGGACTGTGGAGGAGGTCAAGCTGTACTTTAAAAAATTGTAACCTTGTGGGAATTAATTGTGAGAATTCAACCACACAAGGCCAGGTTTAAAGGCTGGCAATTTCAACCCCTGAAACCGGATGCTCCATTTGGCAAGCATAAATATGTTGTTGCACTGTGTGGTACAATTAATTTGCATCCCATGCACTAGCTCAGGCACCTGATTAATTCAAGACCAACTGGCCAGCAAAGCTAGGGTAAGCAAATACTTAGCAAATACCAAAATGCTAAGAAAGGGCCCAGAGTACTAAAAAATGACCCAAGTATCGAAATTACTTTAATTTTTTAATTTCAATTTTACAATCTTTGTCAATTAAAGACTGGTAAAACCCACAGAGCTAAGTGCTCCTTTACGGATAACCTTTTTATGCATGCTATAAATTACCCTTATATACATAAAAGGCTACTGTTGCCCAATTGTCAATTAGGTTCCCAACATTTAAGGTACCAATAATTAATATTAAATCAATAAGATTTGGGCCCAATTAAGGGGCCTCTGGCTCCAGGTTGGCTCTACAATGCTTGCCCTAGCTCCAAGCTTTCTCTTGCAATTATATTAGAAAATCAAGATTTTTTTTGAGGCTTGGAGAGTTTAATTACCAAAAAACCCCTGTTTCTAATTTTTTTTACTATTAGCAGATAGCAACATTTTATATGAACCTTGCTAGGTCCAAGATGTTTTATATGTTAGTCAAAATAATAGAATTCTAAATTCCAGATACTAATACCTAGATACTAATATCACCTAGATATTAATATCAACATAAATTATATATAATATGTATTGTTATATAGGTATACTGTGAACTTTAAATGTGATTGGTTCAGTCGTAGTCACATGATTTTACATTGTACTTTAAATGTGATTGGTTCATTCGTAGTCACATGATTTTACATAAATGCAATGTTTCACGCCAAGAAAACAAGTAAGAAATTGTTGCCCGCTTCTTGTCATAACAAAGTAAAGTGGGGTTTTTTAAATGAAATTGTTGTGTAACATGTATGTTTTCATTCCTATAACAAAACACTTAATGTACACTACCTCGGGAAATAGTGAGTTTTGTTTTCCCTCGAGTCCCAATGTTTCCCTCAACTTCATCTTGGGAAACATTCAGAAACATTCAGAAATCAGACTCTTATAATTGGGAAAACAAAACTTACTATTTCCCTCGGGAGCATACATTAAGTGTATAATATATAATATGTAATTTATATAATATATGCTCAAAATATTTTACAATTTTTAAAACACCAACATTCTGTCACATGCCTCTAATACCTGTTTCCTAGCTGCCTTAAGAATGTTTCAATGCAAGGATCTCTACCCCATCAGGGAAGTATTAGTGTTATGTTTCTTGTACAAAAGAAACCAAACGTATTATTGTGCAAACTGTAATAATATTATTGATATTTCAGTAATTTATGGTTTTCCTGTTGGGGATGCCCTGATCGAAACTTGCTTGCGGGAATGTTGCAGTTAACGAAAAGAGGCTTGAAGAAAGCTTTTGCAACATCCTAAAAGTTTAATTGGATCAGGATACCAAAATACGAAAACCATAAAGTAATTGTTTCACATAACATCACTTCAATTTTTCACTAAAACATCCAGTTCATTGTTGATTTCGATTATCTGACCTCTCTTTTCTCCGCTAACGAGTTTTGCCATCTTTTGTCCACAAAAAGAATAATCCGCATTTCTTGTAGAACTTAAATACGACGAGAATTAACAAGAAAACATATTGGGGGAGATAATTACTATAAAAAATGCGCACGTTCAGATCAGCATATCTAATTTCCAACTCACAATATATTATTTATTGTAAATTAAGAAAATTTATCGACTTTTGACCCCTACTGTATATTGTTTATACTTGGTATTTTTTGGCTGTACATGCAAGCCGCCATCTTTATTAAATCGTCAGCAACTTGTGCTACACACACTTTGGAAAAAACATGCAAACATTCACTTTGTCAACCAAACCTTGAAGTCTGATAATAACAGTAGGGTGAAATTGGTGAAATTAACATTTATTTCAGCTGTCGAAGACTTTGAATGAATAGATGAACAATACATTATATATATAAACAGTAATATAAAGTATCGAACTGTCGTCACCTTATGACACAACCGCGAGTGTGAAACAAAAATACATAAAAATAAATTGTGACATTGTGGATTACGGAGGAGGCGAGCGTCCACAATAAAGCAACAAATTAGGTTTTTATATTAAGTAATTGCCAACCAATTTTTGTTCAAATCTCAAAATGAGCTAATGCTGCTGGTAATGGACTTTGGAATAGTTGAAAGAGATTTTAGCTCGCCGGTTAACATGCAAACAACACCTTTAACGCCCAAAAACAAAATTTGGCACTCGAATGTTTGTCGTTATTAGAGAAATTATTCTGCTTTTCGAATTAGCTAACATTTTTGCGGTAGTACCCAGTAGTGAAAACTTTTAAAAAATGAATTTAAATTTCCTGAACGTATAGAGTTTAATTGTGCTCTCATTACTATTCTATCCTTTTACCATAACTTGTATATGCAGTACCTGGTAAGGAATTTTTTCGCGAGTTGGGGTTGTTTAAAGTAATAAAATAACATGTGTAAAATCTAATATTATTTATTGTTTTCTTGTCACTTCTTCAATCATGAAATTTGGAGAAGATGAAATATGACTATATGAGGGGGAAATCTAAAATTCTCTCTGCAACAAAGGATTCTTTTATACTTTTGCCATCAATTTTTTGTAGTATTTTTTAGCTAGCTATATACAATTTATGACATTTGATCATTTTTTTAGGATTTAGCTGTTTATGAAAAAGAACCAGAATCTGTTGTTGAAGTTACTGAAGAAGGTGAATTCTTTAAAACGGGAAATATGGCTTAATTAAGCTAGATTTAATTCACTTTACGATGACCAATATATTTATTTTTTTGTCAAAACTCGAAAGTGCCTTCTTAGACCTACGGTCAACTATTGATGAAGCTGTATATCTTTATATATAGTGCTGAGGAAAGATGGTTTCGGAGATTCACCTACGTTTAGATGTCTTGTAGCTGAAAAACAAAATGAAGGTAAGTTTTTGGAAGTGTCTATATATGGTTTTATAGCTAAGTGTTTATACAGATTAAATTACATTTGTTTTAAAATCAATACCGTTTTCCCTAGAATATAGTTTTAGAAACGAAACTCTCAAAAGATAGGTCGAAGCATATTCAACATAAGAATTGTAAAAACACATGCATGGTATTGAAAACATTAGTCGAACGACTGTTTATTTAAAACATTATTTGAAGGAGAGATGTTTTCCAAATATGGAAAGGAAGTGTACTCTACACCTAGAAAAAACCTACTAACATCATAATCAGAGAAACTGGAAGTTTCGTTGCAAAATGTTGAAAGTTCGCAAATTTGGTATACTACTCCATGTGTGTATAACATGTGGAGATTTTTACAACATTTGGGACGAAAATAGTAATCATCAATATCACAAAATCAACATTGCTGCACAATCTGTATACGTCCTAAACGACAGCAAACAAAATATATTTATTTTAATTAATATAGATTGGGAAGCAATCCTATACAGGGTGTGTAAAAAAAGATAATCCAACTTCAACACGCTATTGTACGTGAACTACTCAATTTTTTTCACATTCGGAAGGATCAGGCTTTTAACTATCGGGTGACATTTTAATACCAAATGGTGAAAAGTGAGAACATACGAGGCTGATAAAAAACGTAATCGCATATTTTCAATACTGAGCCTAATTAAAGCAGTGCATAAAAAAAAACAATTAATCATGAACATGTCACAGCTTGCACTGGTTTTACGCCACATTTCTTCGAATGTTCTTCTGATGTGATTTATTCCTACTTAATATCCATATGCGGGTAGTTTATTCAGAAGCAAAATTCTTCAATTAAGTCCCAAAGGGGGTTAATTTTGAATGGTTTTAGTCCCAACTCTCAGAGTTGAAAATATACGATTTTGACTAACACTTTTTATCACCCTCCTATTTGCTCATTTTTTCACCATTACCAATTAAAAACATGTCATTCGATAGTTAATTAAGAGCCTAGCCTTTCCGAATGTGAAATAAAATTCGTTAATAGAATGAGTAGTTCACGTACAATAGCACACCAAAGTTGGATTACCTTTTTTTTATACACCCTGTATAGCCTAGGTTGTTACAAAGTGGAAGTCAAGTCTTTTCTGAGCATCGGTTGTGCTTGTATCAATTAGCTGGCCCTGATGTAAAATTTCCCAAAGTTTCGCTTGTTTTGAATTTTTATGAATATAAGCTCTGGTTTATAGCTACTCATTTAGACACGTAGCGAACCTTCACAGAAGATGTTAGATATTCAGATAACACGTCGTTTTCCGTCTTTTTTACGGACTTGACCTCCACTTTCATCTAAAATCTATTGTTATAAAAATAAAAATAAGGCGAAAAATGGGTGTAGCTAAAATAAAAGGATAAACACTGAGATATAGCTGATTTCAAAAGATCGACTGTAAAAATAATAATCTCTTATCTAAAATTTTAGGACAAAGAATAATTGTAGGATATGCTATATATGTCAATTCATATTCGACTTGGAAAGGAAGATCGCTTTGGATTGAAGATCTCTTTGTTAGACCCGATTCACGAGGTACAGGTTGATGTAGATTTTGAAATGTTTTTAAAACGGCATCACCGCGTGTTAGCTATATACACTGGCATATTTTTTATTTTCCACCGAAATCGATATCACTAATTGATATCACTTCTTTCATTTATATTAGGTCAAGGAATTGGGCTAGAATTTTTAAAATGCCTCTCGAAGGTAAAGAACTATATATGAGCCTATATAATGAGAATTAAACGGTTGGAAGGTAGGGTTTTTCCTCATGCGGAGATAAAACCGCATTGTTCCCAAAATAAGTAGGTAAAGTAAATTTGGAGGTGTTCTCATTGGGAGAATAAAAACCCTTGTTCACATATTTCTACTAAAAGCAACCCTCATCCAGCAACCCTCGACATTTCAAACCAAGCAAATAATTTCCTGAGCTAGCTAGACCAAAACTTATATCTTTATGAGTGGATAGGAAATATTTTTATCATTTGGTATACGAAAGTATATAGTCGTTATCCTGCTGAATTATTAAGGCTGACGGTTTATATGGACTTTCGCAGGTTAAGTAAATGTTAAGTATTGAATTTAAACCATCAAAAAGCTAGTACAAAATCTCCAAGGACTATTCAATCGGTAATTGCAGTTGGCGACATTCTTTAGGCTAAGCTAATCAATTTTTAATACTTTATGTAAAATGTTGAATAATGTACCTTTTTACTGGAAGTAGCCAATATTTATGCATTTTGATTAGGTTACTGAAAATGTAAACAAACTTGCTGATTGGTATAAAAATTCCTTCATGTTGTCTTCCAAGTTTTTTATATAGTTATATCTTCCATTTTTATACCATCAATAAAGAAATATAGTTCGATAGAGAATTTACACGCATGAAAGGCTTACGAGACGATCTTCATTTTTCGTACATAAATAATCCCGGAGATTATAAAAAGCAATTAAGCAACTACCCAATGTTAAAGATGTTGTATTTTGTCCTATATACGAAAGGGTGAATATATATAAAAGAGTTTAAATTCTTTTAACTTTTTCCAGATTTCACTCGATAATGGGCTGGCAAAGATTCGTTGTAACGTTTTATGCTGGAATGATATCGCAATTTCATTTTATGACAAAATCGGTGGAATTGTAGAAGACGAGTGGAGGCAATGCACGTTTACTCATGAAGTTATGAAACAATTGGTGAAATCACAACCTTAATGTATGAGAAGATCAATTATTATATAGCAGACCATGTTTCAATATAAACACATATTAGATACGTTAATAATTAACTTGAATATGCAGTAATGAATTGAATATGCAGTATTTGAAATTATCTCCACGTGAAAGTTGAGAACGAGAGGCACACGAGAGCGAGAAACATGACGGAGAGTGCATGTGCAGTCACTTACGATTAACGAGTGCCTAATGAGTCACTCGCAGGTAATGGATAAAATAGCTTTGCACGAGTGATATACGATTGAATATTTGTACACACTCGCAGATTTACGTTTAGAATTTGAGGTATTGCAAATTTTTAGAACAGGCATTATAAACACGCAGTTGTTATAACTGCACTGACTAGTCACCGATATATTAACGATTTAATGCGATAAACCATATGGTATAATGGTTGCTGTTGTTTTGATGTCTAAACTCTAAATATATAAAGTCATAACCTCCCCCCCAAACTATAAGTTATAATATATAAAAACTTACCTTCATTAACTTCGCCATCTAGCAAAAAAGCATTGGTTTGAGCTGGTAAAAACAAATCGATAAATGATCGAGCACAGCTGCAGTTAATTATTGCAGCCCAAAGTTAGCAAGTGGTCTTTCATTATTTATCCGATATCCCAATGTCAATAACTTTAAACGAGCTTATATACCAAGCGGAAACCAAAGTATTTACTAAATCGCAATGAATATAGAGTAAGAGAAAATATAAAGTTTGGCCGTTGCATCAAAACAGTATAACGACGAGGGGGATTTGATTAATCTGTTGTTAATTTATGCAAACCATGCATGCAGGTTGTGGAAACAACGATAAAAAGACTTTTCGAAACAATATTTTTTTTTATTTTAACAGTTAATGAGCTTTGGTCTATAGATTTTGTATATATGTCTGACTATGGGCAATAAATAGGTCGAAGTGGCTGTGTAATGCCTAATGGGAAAACATGTTTTTCCTTCGCGAAATTGTTCTCACTTAATTATTTCGTGCAAAAGGGCTATGATAGTGAAACTCGTATAGCTACAAGACACTTCTTTCATAAAATATGTAAGTAAGTATATATAGGTAAGTTCTTATTTGCCTTGGGAGTTGATGTCATAACTTTATATACATAGTTTAAAGATCAGACAGTGCCCTATTAAATTAGATGCATATTAGTAATTAAGCTTTTAGGTACACCCCGGAAGTATATAATACTGCAAAGCTTTCGGTCCGTTAACCCGGGCCTTCATCAGTGCAATAGGCCCGGGTTAACGGGCCGAAAGCTTTGCAGTATTATATACTTACGTGGTGTACCTGCAAGCTTAATTACTTATCGATTGTCACCATGCAAACGTCCAAGAATATTATTCGATGCATATTGCGCTGATTGTAATAGATACTCTAACTATAGTTATAATACAGGTTCTCTAGACTTTTGGAATACCCAAAATCTTAAACACTAAACATATCTAATGTAATTAATGGCATATCACTCGTACATTTGCTACACGTTATACTTTTCGAGTGATTCTCCGCCGTTTATCGCGACTCGCACACTACCTATTTGGTTAGCTCTAGACGGCTACTACGTTACCATCGATTTGTATCACAGTTTTTAAATAAAAATAAAAGGAGTTAAGCAATTGTATTACTATAGTGTACCATTAACTCTCATTCGATATATCTAGACCGGTATTTTGCAACGACTTTAAAGTCATTGGGACGGAGCAACAACGCGTCAGTAGAAACGTCTGTGCTAGGAAGTGCTTCTTTATCTGGTAACTCAAATTTGTAGCGATGCAACAATGCTGAAGCATATGTAAGCAGTGTCATTTTTGCTACGGATTGTCCTAAACATTCCCTCCGTCCAAGACCGAATGGCACGAAACCACGAAGCTTCGACCATCCGACAAATCTGCCATCGGAACCAAGAAATCGTTCAGGCTTAAACGTGACAGGCTCTGACCATTCTCGTTCGTCGTGAAGCGCTTGCTTGAGATTGAGCACGACAAGAGTTCCTTTGGGTACGTGATAACCGGCAATGGTGGTGTCACGAATAGCGTTTGTTCCCGTGTGTTGAACCAAACCGGAGATCCTTAAAACCTCGCACAAAGTAGCCTGAAGGTACGACATGTTTTGAACATCTTTCCAAGCTGGCGCGCTGTCGTTCGTGGTTATAACATCAATTTCTTTTTGGATTTTTATTTGGATATCATCATACAAAACCATGTACAATATGAACCAAGATAATGCGGTGGAAGTTGTGTCTGTTCCGGCGATGATGACATCCAACATTAGGTATGGAATATCTTCTGTTGAACCTATTTCCGTGATGCCGTCTTTGGTACGTTCCCTTTCGTATAAAGTAATAAAACTGTCGGTTAAGTCACGAATGATGCCTGATACATAGGTTTGCTGATGTGCATGGAATTCCGGGAGAAACAAGTCATCCACCAACTGTTTGGCTCTTTTTATATCACGGTTAAATTTAGTCGGAAAATACGCTAAGAATGGGAACATTTGATACAACGAAGCTTGTTTGGCAAGGTTCGACAGTATGTATCCCAGTTCGTGGGAAGATTTTACGATCGCATCGTCCAATGATACGCTTTTTGAGGTCAGCCATTCCCAAAGTTGTGCGATTATTGCGCTTTCAAAAAGTTCCAGAGCTGAAAATGGTTCTCCATTTTTTCGATCAATCTCTTTGATTGCCTTCACCAACCCGCTTCTCGCTCGATCCTCCACCTTTTCCACGCCATTTACTGCCGTGTGCAATGCTGTCTTGAAAACCCTCTTCCGAAAAAGGTACGCTGTTGAATAGTCCGCTGTCGCTACGTTTTTACAGCGTTGTATGACACTCCAAGGATACATCGAATCCGGGGTTCTTCCTGCAAGATCGTCTCTGGTCTCGAGTCTTGCGTTTCGTATTAACTTGGTATTGTTTAGTACAACTATTGTTCCAACAGGAGTAGTAAGAGTGAATATATCACCGAAAGTTTGGGCCAGTCGGCCGAAGGGATAAAGTGGATCGAATACTATCTGAGGTATATTGCCAATGAAGGGAAACGGGAATGGTCCTGGTGGCATCTTTTTCCTAATTTTGTAAGTTGTAATGACATCCCGCAGCAGTAATACCAGACACAGCAATAGTCCAATTTCAAGCATCATTTTTGTTGAACTCTAAAAGAATGTAAATTGGGTTGTATACATCATGTCTAATTTTCCTGAAATAGTATTTAGATATATAAGGGTAAATCAATTTTTTCACAAAATCATAAGCCCCGTTTACACTACACTCGATTTAGGCCCATTTCATCTGTGCTCAGCCTTTGTTTTGGCATCCTGAACACTAATGAAATTGGGTACGGGTATACCAATTTTAGCCGTGCCGTGCCGATAAATAGAGTGTAGTGTAAACGGGGCTTTAATATGTTGTTCAAATAAAATAGTGTAAAGTGTAACGGGGCTTTAATTTGCACATAACATCTTTATCTGTAACAACACTTACGCCAATTCATGTATCAATGGCCTTAGAAGCGGAGCTTTAACTGTCTTAGGCCCGTTTCAGACGTCAACTTTTCATGTGCCGAACCTAATGTTAAATGAGCTGAAGTCTTTGTTTATTAAGTTAATTTGCATTCGATTCGGCACATGAAAAGTTCGACGTCTGCATGAAACGGGCTTTAGAAGATTTTGTAGCCGCAGCGAAACTAAAATTCCCTAATACTAATTTAGGAGCTGAAGGTTTGCGTGGGTCGCACCCTCTGTGAACATGCACAAATTACTTTCTTTTGGAGTTTCTTATACTAACAACTGTGCCTAAAAACTCAAACTGAATCTGCCGTGTCGTGACATGGCCAAGTATATAAATAACGTACTTAAGCATGCATAATTATATTCAATTATAGCATATTGAATATTGATCATTCAAAATATGATCGAGTAAACCTAGTAATTCTTGCATTTCATGGTGGCGTTTGTAACATTGTGAACAGTATCAATCATTTTTTTATATTACACGCCATCGAGTCATCTCAATCGTATCGATAGATAGCACTTAAAACACAATCTACATGTTAATTGAAAATAAAACCACACGGCAATTTTTCCTTTGTTTGCTCGTGTATACGATAAGCACGTACTTGCTTGGCGGTAAAAGTCTTTGAGCGTATATCACTATATATGGCATGTGTGAATATCACGAATTGTATAAACATAGCTTCGCTCACATTACACTCGATTTATTGGCACGGCACAACTAACACAATATTAACATGCTTTAGCATTGTCGTTCAATAAATCGAGAATAATTATATAGTGTAAACGATGTCTAGATTATTCTTGATTTACATTATTTTGAATTGGCAGTGAAATATACGCCTTTTGAAATGACAGTTAATAAACGTGTGAATATGATGTTGGTTTGTTATTAAATGTTATATTAGAGAATAGCGACGAGCTTACCGTTTTTTTAACCACTGACTAATGTTAAATTTCTGCCACCATATATAATATCTACGTTATTTTACTCACGTCGACGTCATTAACTCCAGTGTATCAAGTGTAATCTTCGTTCTATTTAATCACGAATTGTTTTTATTTCATACCACATTAAGCATGACGCCCCCTGATCTTTTATATAAATCGCGAAAGATAAATGTAGAGTGCATCCACTGTAAACAACATTGCCTTAGGCGCAAACCAATATGATATACATGCTTTGCATGTTTGCAAATTTTTGGCAAAAATTCCAAACTTTTAAGGCTCGTTTCAGACATGAAACTTTTCGTGTTTCGAATCAAAGGTAAATGAACTTAAATGAGAAGATTTTAGACGCCAGGGTCATAATAAAGCCATTTATAGGAGGGAAAATAAGCCGCGGCCTAAATAAGCAGTGCGTTTGTACTTGATAAAGTATAATACGTAATTGGTCGCACACAATCGTAGTATAAACGACTCAAAACCAGTGAACTCTATACAACTATGACGACAACTCATGACAAACATCCCTTTTCAGCCTGAAGCCAAAATAGTCTTTCTGAGTTTTGAGACAAAATACTTGACTCCAGACGTTTGGCTGTGTGTCAAATTAAAGCTATTGAAAAGTTATATTTGATGTTGTAATTTCGAGACTTTAACTACAAAGAAAATATTTAAAAAAAAAACCCGTCAATTACCAACCGGCAAGAAACCGGGAAATTTTCAAATATTTTTAGATATTTTCCTTTAACCTAAAGTCTCGAAATCTCTACACGAAATATAACTTTTTAATAGCTTTAATTTCATATACGGCTCAACATTTGGCGTCAAGTATTTCAGCTTAAAACTCAGAAAAAGTAAAAGGCACTGGCTTTAATTTCCCCTCATGATCGTTCCAGTTTCAATGCTCAAAACATGGATATATGCACAAAATTTTAGTTACACTTTCTATCCATAAAGCATCCGAAGTGTAAAATTTTGAGGCAAAAAAAGTCGCGGGTCACCGAACTCGTTTCCGAAATTTAATTTGTGGGCATATTGAAATGCCTCTGTTGGTATAGCAACGGTTGCTAAGGGGGAGTTCGAAATATATAGATTTCCGCTCTGCATAATTATGTTGACTAAAAGTTATATTAAAGTTTAGTATGCTAGCCAAAAATTTAGATGACTTAATATCCCTGTTTAAAATGTGTATTTGACAATTTGAATTAATTAGGGAGCCGCCTTAAACATTTATTAACTATATAATAAATATATTGACTTCATTTACATTACCTTAAAATAATCATAATCAGGGACAGGGCCGGATTAACGCTTTGCGGGGCCCATGATTAGTGAGTTTGGGAAATACAACGGCTACGGCAACCTAGCAAAAATATATTCACTGGATATTGTGGTATATTCAAGTAAAAGTACGTGTTACTGTACACGTGATTTGCTTCTTCGAGTTTCCTTCTTTTTTTAAGGTGGCTCTCTACAGTTTATTGAAATTGTCAAGCACTCATTTTGAACAGGGATATTAAGCTTTAATATAACTTTCAGAAAACATAGGTAGAGCTGAAATCCATTTCGAAACTTTAACTTGGCAACCGTTGCTATAGCGATAGAGGCGTTTCAAAACGGCCACCAAATAGAGTTTAATCAAGTTTATATCGGAGACGAGTTCGGTGACCCCCGATTTTTTTCACATCAAAATCTTACACTCCGTTGGCAAAAAAATTCTGTGCAGTGCGATTTTTTATGTTGCAAAAAATGTTATTTTAACTCTTTAGAAAAATCCTACTGCACAAAATTTTAGTTAAACTTTCTATCGATAAAGCATTCGAAGTGTAAAATTTTGAGGCAAAAAAAGTCGCGGGTCACCGAACTCGTTTCCGAAATTTAATTTGTGGGCATATTGAAATGCCTCTGTTGGTATAGCAACGGTTGCTAAGGGAAAGTTCGATATAGATTTCCGCTCTACATAATTATGTTGCCTAAAAGTTATATTAAAGTTTAGTATGCTAGCCAAAAATTTAGATGACTTAATATCCCTCTTTAAATGTGTATTTGACACTCTTAATTAATTAGGGAGCCGCCTTAAACATTTATTAACTATATAATAAATATAGTCGATCTTCAAACACTCCAAACAACATCGAACACATTCTGCCGCGTGGTGATGCACCGTGAAATTGGTGGAAATCACGATGCAGTTTCACCAACTACGTCAACGTAATTTACAGTTTCTTTTCCTGGTTTTCATAGTATCGTAATTTATCGGCGACAATGAATCCTTTGTCTATCGAAGAAAATTATATACTTCATTGATCACCGACAATAGATCGTAGAACATCGCCGATGAATTGCGACATATCAAAACCAGGCTTAAGGATCAGTGCCACTGTTGATGAGCACTTTGTGGTTGGCGTTGCCCTACCTCCCCCCTTCGGTCCTTCATTTTCTTACACCAATACGTTGAATGTACTAACATTAAATACTATAATAGTACTAATTCCGCCTGGAGATTATTATGGTATTGTGACAGAACATAGCGGAATCCAAAGTTGTCCAAATTCTATGTCATGGACCGTGGACGTTGGACGTTCAATGGTTGTGGTATTTGTGGCAGGCGCAAGGCTTGAACGGGTAAGGACTGGTAATTAGCAACTTGCTGATTGGCTAAGACAAAACGTTTGTATTTCAATGAATATAAAAACGAGAATTCAGGATTATCCTACCCTCACTAAGCTATCGAGATGCACTAAATAGCATAGGAATAATTACAATAAAAGTTCGACGGGAAAGTTTATGTAATTCCTTTTTTAAAAAAAATAAGCAGAACGATAAATTAATAGAACTGTCAGTACCCAAACTGTCATCCGTTGGATATGATTTACAATCAACACGCACATGTAAAGATTTTTCGTGCAAAAAAGGTCGTTTTAAAACTTTTTTTACCCCAAGTTATCTCGAAAGAGACTGGTACCGTATAGGTTTATCTAACTTCATATATCTACTATTTTAGCGACTTCTATTTTATTGAAAATGTAATTATAATTGATATTATTATACATTGTAGTTGGTAAAAGCAATTTGATTGGCTAATAGTTGATAGTTATCAGCGCAATCACGCAAAATTCAGTTATCTGCTAATTGAGTTACCTACGTATACTAGCAGATAACTGAGTTATCTGCAAGTGAGCCTGCGGTGGTTACTAAGCGGTATTCATTTCTCATTCAGACAAAAGAAAGCAAACGTAGAAAAAGCGAATATGGATAGATTTTCAAACTTATTCTTCAAATGTATTCTTCAAATAACGCTTACCTCGATTATTCCGCATATCACAAAAACCTCATCCAATAATTGTTTATTATATAACGTGTATTTAGTGATGTACTATATAGTATTT